AAAGACCTCTTTTGCCCTTTTTAAATACTTTACTATATGTTTTTACTGTAAAAACCTGGTCCACACACCCCCCACCTTTCCAAAACCCCTTGTTCTCTGCTATCCTATTTTCTGTTTACTCTTTAAATTTTTCAATAATAACTCTCCATACACTTTACCAGGTATACCAGCAACTTATCCCCCTTAATTTTTGCACTCTCTTTTTCCCCCCTTTTCCTTTTTAAAAAAGGGAAAATCAGCTCCGCCCAAACCCTAGGGACCTTACCCTCTTCCATACATTTTATTTTAAAAATTGCACAACCACTCCAAAAATTACAAATAATTTATTATAAAATTATTTGTAATTTTTTTTCACACAAAAAATAAGATTTACTGTTATTCCTCATTTCAAAAATGTATAAATATTCAACCCATTCACGACTTCAAATTTTAATGGGGCAGGGCGTCATTTGTTTTACACTGAAACAGCCAAGCAATGGGGCCCTTTTTTCCTAGGTTAGCTTTTATTTCAAGGTACTTTTCGTTGTGAAAGCAAACAAAAAAAATATCTATTTCTTAATATATCTTTCCATTCTATCAAATGAGACCAAAAAACGAAATACAAACCATAAAAACATTTAAAATTACCACTAAGGGGTGGCAATTGCGAGAAGTGTACTTCTTATTTAGCTTTGATTTCTTTCATTTTTTGGGGTATGTTAAAAGCATCTTTCCATAACAATGCTCAATTTCAATAAATAGTCCCAAAAAACAAAGAATACAATTCCCGAGATCAAGAGCAAAAGCCCCTCACCAGTGTCAAGGAACCTACCTTGAGGTCTGCTCGCTTGTGGAAATTTTGCTCGCATATGGAAGCAAAAAATCGACCCATCGACTGCTCGTATTTGGAAAAACTTGCACGTGGACACGCTCGCAAGTAGAGGTTCCACTGTATCTGAATTCATTCACTTCCTCCACATTCCCTCCCTCCAATCTTATATCCAGTCTTTCATTACTTTTTTTTTTCTACTTTTAATTTCCTTCTTTTATTTCAACACATTGGCTGTCTCCCACCAAGGCAAGGTGACCCAAAAAGGAAAGAAAGACCTTCACCATCATTCAACACTTTCACTATCATTCACACACAATCACTGTCTTTGCAGAGGCACTCAGATACGACAATTTAAATATCACTCCAAACAGCCAGTATCCAAAACCCTCCCAAATTATTCCACCTACCTTAGTAACTTATCTTCAGTATTTCTCAAAAGCACTATGTCATCGGCAAATAACAATTGTGACAATTCCCACTTTGTGTCAGATTCGTCATCATTTAACCCTTTCAGGGTCCGTCCCGTAGATCAACGGCTTTACATTGAGTGTCCAAACCGTAGATCTACGCCAAAATTCTAGCGCCGTCAAATTTAGCGCGAAAACGCTCATAGGCCTACATGTGAGAGAACGGGTCTACGTGGTGGGTGTGCGCCATAAACAAAAAATCTAGGCGCCCGCATAGCATTGTGGGAACGCCGGCTCAGTTACCCTTGTTCACCATGCCTCGTCGCAAGTCAGCTCTCACTCCCCGGAAAATTGGGACTCTCCTCTTCCTATCTGATAGTTCTGACACTGATGGAAGTGGAAATGAAGACAAATTCTACGGCTTTGATCAGTTAGTGACCGAAAAGAATGACCAGGATATCGATAATAGTGCAGAAAACCCTGACGATCCTCAACCTTCTACCTCTGGTGTGGGCACTCATGACTCACGGTCGGTTGTTCCTCATCGCAAGAGAAAACTAATATTTTCGCGTGGCCAGGCCTCTGACTTCAGTAATGATGATGATAGTGACGTGGACTGTGATTTTATTGCGCTCGACGATCATTCAAGTAGTGATAGTGAGGAATCATATTCACCAGTGAAGCGTCGGTATGTTCGCCGCCACATGCGCTCGGGTAGTGTACCCTATGCTGTGCCCAGGGGACGGAGTACATCCCGGAGTACATCCCATGGCCCCAACACCAGTTTTAGGTAGTGATAGGATGATGTGGCTACACTTGGCATGGATAGACCACAGGCATCAGTGGATGGTGTTAGTGGTGATGGTAGTGGCGGTGGTAGTGGCACCGCCATGCGTGACTCACCAGGCCACGCTGGGACCCATGCTGCTGACTCGTCAGTTCAAGGACAAAGCGGAGCGCCAGCCACCAGCCCACCACAACCACAACCACCCGCACAACCAGCCTATGATGTCCAGTATCCACCAGCAAACCGTATGTGGGATTGGCAGCAAAATCCCAATTTTGTTCCCAAGCCTCACCACTTTGATGACTCTCAAAGTGGAATTCTACCTACTTGTCCCCTTGGAACCACGGCCAATGAACTGGAATTCTTTGAATTATTCTTTGACCAGCAATTGATGGAAATTATTGTCAGGGAAAGTAATAAGTATTTTGAGTACACCATGGCAAATACGATCTTATCACCACAGTCAAGACTACACAGGTGGAAAGAGACGACTGTTGCAGAAATGTATTTGCTTTTTGCAACAATAATGCTTATGCCTCACGTCTATAAGCATAATATAAAAGCATACTGGTCCACAGATCGGCTAATTTCTACCCCGGTCTTCAGTGAAATCATACCAGTGAACAGGTTTATCTTACTCTTACGTATGTTGCACTTCTCTGACAAAACCAGGCCTGACAGAAGTGACAGGTTATACAAGATTAGAAATGTTTTCATGTATCTCAGACAAAAGTTCAGCATATACTGTACTTTTATCCATTCAAGAATCTTGTAATTGACGAGTCTTTGATTTTGTTCAAAGGTAGACTGTCATTCAGCAGTATATACCGAGCAAGAGGAAACGCTTTGGTATAAAACTGTTTGTACTCTGTGATTGTGACAGTGGCCTGGTGTTGGATATTGTTGTATACACGGGTAGTAAAACATTGAAAGATACCAAGATGTTATTGGGTATCTCAGGTGATGTAGTGAGAAACATGATGGCACCTTATCTTGGTAAGGGGCATACATTATATACCGATAACTGGTAACAAGCCCATTACTCAGTGATTTCATGTGAGTGAACAAGACAGATGTGTGTGGCACAGTGCGTTCTAATCGTAAACATATGCCCAGACTCAACGCAGGTGCTCGTGGTGATGACGTGCAGGTGTTTACTGCCAATGACATCATGGCATTTACGGTGGCATGACAAACGAGATGTCACATTGTTTGACAACCATCACCGTAATGAAATGCAAGACAGTGGCAACGTTGATCGAGTGACTAAATGAACGTATTCGAAAACCAGTGACAGTGATTGATTATACACAAAAACATGCGCTTGGTTGACAAATGTGACATGCAGATTGGTTTGTTGACTGTGTTCGTAAGAGTTACAAGTGGTACATGAAACTTTTCTTCCATCTCATGGACATTTCAATGCTCAATGCATATAATATGTACCAAATAAAGACTGGCAACAGACCACCGTAATGGTGGAATTTTGTTTGTCTGTGTCAGACAACTCATAATGAAGTACCAGGTAACAACACCTGCTATACAACACGGTCCTCGAATTCCTCAGGATATACCCAAGCGTTTGAGGAGGGAAGGTGATCATTTCATAATACAACTTCCTTCAACTCAGAAGAAATTTGCTCAGAAGAGATGCATCGTCTGTGCACAAACAAAAAGACGGCAACAAAGACGCAAAGACACTCGATTTATGTGTGAGGAATGTAAGGTGCCTCTGTGCATGGTGCCTTGTTTCAAGGAGTTCCACAAGCTCCAGCAGTTCTAAAACCATGTCCAGTGATTGTAAATATGTAAATCATGATAGAACATTAGTATTATACAAGATTTGTGCATGTTTATTGTAATAAACAACAGTGGTAAACAATAATATGATAATAACTTTAGTGCAGTTATTGTGTTCAATACAGTGAGTTTATATATATACATTATATACAGTATTGGTCTCTCAGGCCCCAAATGTTAGTAGGAATAGAAAAAAATTGGAAAAGAAAAGAAAAAACAACAAAAACCGCAAAATAATGTAATGCGCGTAAGTGGAATTCGTCGATGTTGCCGCCACCACATCATTTTCGACAAACTTCTTGGCACTGATCTCGTAAGTACTGATCAGAATTTTTTTTTTGTCTTATTACCTTCACAAAAATATGCTCTTTAATTCTGTAAGAAAAAATATTTTTTTTTTTTTTTTTTTCAAAATTTCTTGGACACTGGAGCACCACTTCAGATTTTGGCCTTGGACCCTGAAAGGGTTTTAATCCACACTTCTCCCTATCATCCTAACATTCATTTCTTTTGCAGTACATCTATAAATATAAACAGCCTTGATGACACACAGCCCTATCTAAAGTCAACTTTGGCAGGGAAATAATCCCCCTCATTCCTACATATTCTAATCTGAGCCTTACTATTGGCATAAAAAAATTTTACTGCTTTAAGTAAACCACTACCTATTCCATACATTTCCAAAAACCTCTGCTACATTGTTTCCCTATCTGCCCTATCATATAAATGTTATTTGTATATCTCCACATTAAAATTCCTATCGGTACTGTTTCCTGTTTTTCCTTTATTTTTTTTTATTTCGTTGCTCTTCTTTTTGTCTTTTATGTTCACTTTATCTTTGTATTTTCATTCTCAGAACAAATTTAAACTATTTCTTGATATATCAAAGCCAACACTTCTGAATACAGATAAACTAACCAATTGGAGCCAGCATCTTCTGTAGTACTGATAGTGTAGAAAATAAATTTTTTGTTGATGTTGGTAGCATAAGTGTGCTGCTGTTTTGGAATTAAAAGCAATGTGTTTTGTGAATGAATGAATTTATTTTGTAGATGAACCAGGGAAGCAGAGCATCCTTATTACTCAGCTTAATGTAGAGAATGGAAGAGATAAAAGGACAATAGAGGACAGAGATAGTGAAGAGGAAAGACATTAACAATGAAAACAAGGGAGCTGAGGAGAAGGTAAGGAGGAGAAATGAAACATCATATATTTGTTATTCACACAGCTGACACTGAAGAAACAGAACTTATCACCATTGCTGAGCCTTCAAATTCTCACTGTAATTATTAGCATTGTTTTAGATTTTTTTAGGTTTATGGCAGTTCATGATAAAAGCAAAATACAGGTTGACCTTCACTAATCTGGCACCATCAGGACGTGAAGGGTGCCAGATTAGTGATTTTTGCCGGATTACAGAGTGGTTAGGTTAGAATACACTTAACCCAATGGCGATATTTATGAATCGGTGATTTCACCCACTTCATGCCCTATTTTTGGCCCATTCCATTGTTCCAGTCTACCAAAATCATAGCTATTTCACTAGTATTCCTTCTATTCTGTAGACTGAGTACAAGAAAATACCCATTTACCTATTTCAACTACCCAGTAAAGTGGTCAGAAATCAGTGTGTTGGCCAGTTTAACACAAATTTCAAAAGATGCCATTTTCACAATAGGGTCCAGAATAAACAATGCAAACATTCCTAGCACTAAAATAACATTTTCTCTGTTCATTAGTCACATCTCCAGACCTCTCTTATATTGTGCTTGCTTTCCATTTTGAATTTTTATTCACACAAAAAGAAAATAGAAGATTTACTGTTATGTAGACTACTGCATTATTGTAATAATTGTGTAAATAATGTCAAGCCATTCATAACTGTGTATTAAATCAGCCAATTGGACACATATTGGATGGTGATGTCATGTGTTTACTCTTGAACATTGGCAAAATTGAACATTTCCACTAGTTTGAGCTCAATTTCAAGGTACTTTGTCATGAAACCAATCGAAATCATATCTATTTCTGTAATGTATCTTCCATTCTATCAAACGAGGATGCAACCATAAAAATCATACGGAAACCACACATCACTGTTTTATACTATAAACACGGTTGCTTTTTTTTTCTCATTATGCACTGCGTGCTGCAAGATTTTTTTTATAGTGCATACTTAACATACAGACCTATTCTCTCATATGTAGGCCCAAATTTACCAGTCAGAGCTTGTCTGAGTGAGCTGAGCTCATGGCAACCAACAGTGGCTTCAAAGCCACTGTCTTTTATGTACAATGTATGGTGTATATGCTTTACACAAGAAAAAGCATTTCTTTTATTTATTAGAACCATGGCTAGGGCTAGAAGTGAGCAGGTTATAGCAATAAATGGAAAAAAAGAAATTTAACTAACCTATGTAGCATGTAGCACCACCAAACAGTAGCAGCAGGTTGGTGTGGCATCCCTGGAAATTTGAAATTATGCTAGCGAAATTAGTGCCAGATTAGTGATGGCTGACCTGTACTAATTCTTTGAGCAATTTGTTCTATATACAGAATTGGGTTGTTTTTACTTCCAGCTCTCATATTCAGTATGCCTTCAGAGTTTTGTCTTTAAACATCATTTTTTTAAGTTGTTTTAAAGATTTTTGTATGTGTATATCTTTCTTTCAACGCCCTGGCCCTATCCCACCGAGGCAGAGTGACCTAAAAAGAAAAACAAAAGTATTCTTTTTAAATTTAATAATTTATACACATGTAAGTTGGTGCCAGGTGAAAAAGTCACGCGTGTTTGAGCTCAGTCAAATTTACATTTCTCTGACTGTACAGCAGGGGACAGAGTGCGGAAAATAGGCGTGTGCAGAACTTATTGATATTCTCATTTAAACCCTACATTAAGGAAATATCAGTGATCACTGAAGAGATAAAAATATAGATTATAGTGTCAAGTGTAGAGTGCTGGGCATCAGGATAACAGCTGTAACTGGAGGGTGCCATACAGTGAATGGTTTGTGACTAGCAGTGAGTGTAGATCAGTGAAGGGAAATAAGAAAGATCAGGAACTAACATAAATTCCAAGAGCAGAAAAGTTAAGAAACAAAAAAGGACTATTGTTAAAATGTCAGGAAAATATAAGATATAATTATTAGTAAAAGTGTAGAAGGGGAGCAGGTTGTGAACTAGGCCTAAAGGTGTTTCCACACGGTGGGTCGTGTTCTATACTGAAGGATTGTTACTCATCTTATCATATGTAATATAGCGAGTGACATAGTGAGTGACGAAATATTGATGTTCAGTGATATAGTGATCTTAAATTATGGATTACAACAATCTGACAAATACCCAATACATAATGTATAATATAGGGAATAATTATTGCCAGAGGTCAACAGAGAAGTGGACTAAACAATCAGATGAATATTGAACTTATGTATAAGTGATATAACGAGGGATAAGGACATGAATAGGCAGTGATATAGTGAACTGAAATTGTGGATAAGAGTAATCTTAATTAATCCCAAGCAATAGTGTACAATATATGGTGTAATTATATGGGAACATTGTGCAAGTGCCATGTGCACCCTTACCCTCATTCCAGAGACATAACAGTTACAAAAGCAATACATATATTCTGATCACAACATCATAGAAGTTCAAACGAGTATTACCTCAGGGTTAGGGAACTGCACCACTAATGTTAGAGACGGAATGTTCAGCAAATTTAATTTTAACAACCATAGAATTGACTGGGAAAAAATAAACCAAGAGTTATCAGACATATCCTAGGAATCAGACATGAGCATCCTGAATCCCCACCAGTGCTTAGAGAAGCTGAATACAGAAGCATACGAAGTATGTATGAAGCATGTATCATTGAGAAAACCCAGAAGATCAAATATAGAGAGAAGCATAGGAGATGGTACAGAAGAAAATGGGTTACTGAATTGCTTAAAAGCACAAATATGTTGCAATAGAGGAAAGATAGGCTTAGCTGAGAGATCGCTGAATTAGAGCAAAAACTCAGGATGTCATACCTAACAGAAGAAGTACAAAAGGAACACAGGGCCATACAGGACATTGCAAGAAACCCAAAATATTTCTATTCCTATTCAAAATCCAAACTAAAAACTACCTGTAGAATTGGACCATTATTGAGAGGAGATTCGTATACTGACGATGAACAGGAAATGAGTGATATCCTAAAAGAACAGTATGAGTCGGTGTTCAACAACTCACTAAATGACAGCAAGGTAGAAAATGAAGAAATATTTTTCACTCCAGCAGAAGGCCATGCAGACCAACTAATGGACATTAGTACAAATCCCATAGATTTCAAAAAAGAAATGGACAACATGCCCACTCACTCAGCACCTGGACCAGATTCATGGAATGCTCTATTTATAAAAGTGCAAAGTACCACTAGCACGAGCCTCAGTATTCTTTGGAGAAAGAGCTTAGATCTAGGTGAAATACTGGAGGCCTGTTAGAGTGCAGACATAACTCCTTTGCATAAGGGAGGTAGTAGAGCACTAGCTAAAAATTTCAGACCAGTAGTCCTAATTCTCACATAGTAAAAATCTTCGAAAAGTGGTGAGATGGCAGATTAAAAAATTTCATGGACCAGCATAACCCGAACCAGTATGTTTTAGAGCAGGACGATCATGCCTGTCACAGCTGCTGAACCATTATGACAGAATTACAGAGACATTGGAAGAAGCCCAAAAATTGCAGATGTGATTTACACAGATTTTGCAAAGGCGTTTGACAAATGCTGTCATGGAGTGATAGCGCACAAATGAGGGCCAGGGGCATTATGGGAAAGGTAGGCAGATGGACTTTCGGGTTCCTAACACAGAAACACAACAAGTAATAGTAAACAGAGCAATATCCAGCATCAGCGAGGTCAAAAAGCTCGGTGCCCAAGCCACTCTCCGGGCACCTCTGCTGTTTCCTCATCCTTATAGCGGACATGATCAAAACACACCATCACACTTTTGTATCATCATTTGCACATGACACTAAAAATAAGCATGAAAGTCATTATAGTTTGAGGACACTGAAAAAATTTCAGGAAGACATAAGCAGGGTTTTCCAGTGGGCAGTGGAGAACAACGTGACATTTAATGGGGATAAGTTCCAGCTGCTTAGGTATGGAAGAATGAAGAACTCAAAAGGAACACTATACACAAAACTCAAGAGGGTCACTATATAGAATGAAAAGAATGCATGAAAGACCTGGAATAATTATGTCAGCCAACCTTTCTTTTAAGGAAAAATACCAAGACAAAGATCACAACGGCCAGGAAGATGACAGGGTGGGTATCGAGAACTTTCAAACAAGGGAAATACAGTAATGCCAATGGTGACACTTTTCAAATCACTAGTGCTCCCTCATTTAGAATATAGCTCAGTGCTGATGGCCCCATTCAAAGCAGAAGAAATATCAGAGCTGGAACAAATAAAAGAATCATTTACGGTTTTTACATTGAGCCAGTAAAGCACCTAAATTACTGGGAACGCCTTCAAGTCTTGAACATGTACTCATTGCAGCGGAGGAGAGAGAGATGCATGATAATATACACCTGGAAAGTACTTGAGGGCGTGGTCTGAAATTTGCACACTGCAACAACAACATACTGGAGTGAGAGATATGGGAGGAAGTGTAAAATAAACCCAGTGAGGAGCGGGGGTGTGATGGGGACAATAAGGGAACTGTATCAACATCTAGGGTCCCAGACTATTCAACATCTTACCAGAAGATATCAGAAACATGGCTGGAACAAGTGTAAAGCCTTCAAGAGTAAACTGGACAAGTATCTTCACCAGGTGCCAGATAAACCAGGCTGTGATGGATATGTGGGCAGCAGGCCTCCAGCAGCAACAGCCTGGTTAATCAGGCTGTTGCTGATGAGCCTGCCCATGGCCGGCTCTGAGAGTAGTTAAACTCTCAAAACTCTTCGAAGGTATATCAAAGGAGTTACTAGTCCCTTTCTCCCAGCATTTAGTTACCTCTTACGACACATGTGGCTTATGGAAGAATTCTTTTCCACTTCCCTAAAATATATATTCTTCTTTCTTTCAACACACCGGCCGTATCCCACCGAGGCGGGGTGGCCCAAAAGGAAAAACGGAAGTTTCTCCTTTTACATTTAGTAATATATACAGGAGAAGGGGTTACTAGCCCCTTGCTCCCTGGCATTTTAGTCGCCTCTTACAACACGCATGGCTTACGGAGGAAGAAAATTTTGTTCCACTTCCCCATGGAGATAAGAGGAAATAAACAAAGGACAAGAATTAGTAAGAAAACCCAGAGGGGTGTGTATATATATGCTTGTACATGTATGTGTAGTGTGACCTAAGTGTAAGTAGAAGTAGCAAGACATACCTGAAATCTTGCATGTTTATGAGACAGAAAAACGGACACCACAGTCCTACCATCATGTAAAACAATTACAGGTTTCCGTTTTACACTCACTTGGCAGGACGGTAGTACCTCCCTGGGCGGTTGCTGTCTACCAACCTACCAGTTTTGCATTGCTTCATGTCTATATTGTTTATCAGAACTTTGTAGGAGTAACAACTTGTAAAAAGGCCTCTGATTCACCAGTATTTATTTCTCCCTATCATTTTCTTTTTCTTTATGTCCCCTTTTCCACCATTTGCTTTCCTTTGTGAATGACAATTGTTTTTTGCCATCGTTGAATCTGAACTGGTAACCCCTGCCATTCAATAATATATTTAAATACTGTGAATGAAAATTGTGTTGTTTACTCAGTAGATTGGTCTAGACCTATTTATTAGGATGCATATTAGTATTAGGTGTTCATACTGATCAAATGTACTACAGTACAGTGATTTAAATTGTATAAATTATAGGTTTCAGTGAACCTTGGAGACTGTTGTGCCTGTGTAGATTATTGATTGGCTTGAGTTACCAATTTTCACATGATGATAGGCAAAATAAGTTACTCATGAAGGAAAAAAGGCAGAAGGAAACAAATTGAACAAGTAAGTGATAATACTGGTAATAAGGAAGTCTTCAAACAAATTTTTTTCCTTAAGGAGTTCATTGAGCCCTACACAGAAAGTTTTTCATAATTTGAAGCATTTTAATCCATTAGCTATTTCAAATTCAAAACTCTTTTTTTTTTTTTTTTTTTTTTTTTTTTTTTTTTTTGTAAATCGGTAATATTGTAATTTCTTTCTATTGTATTTTTGTTAGGTGAAAATGGTCAGAGTCCAGGGTCAGCAGTATCTTGTGAAGGATGTGGCACATTGATGTCCTCTGTTTCAGTGCTGAGAAAACATGCAGTACACTGCAGAGTTCAGCAGGAAGGTATGTTGGTTAATCATAGGTTACTGAAGTGTATGGTATGTAGTAAATTTTCTTGTTTAAGATCAACTTTCTTTGAGTGCCAGAAAGCTTTGCCTTTTTTTTTTTTTTTAACAAGTCAGCCATCTCCCACCGAAGCAGGGTGACCCAAAAAGAAAATACTTTCATCATCATTCACCACTTTCACCTCACTCACACATAATCACTGTTTTTGCACAGGTGCTCAGAACACAACGGTTTAGAAGCATGTATGTATAAAGATACACAACATATCCCTCCAAACTGCCAGTATCTCAAACCCCTCCTTTAAAGTGCAGGCATTGTACTTCCCATTTCCAGGACACAAGTCCGGCTATATAAAAATAACCGGTTTCCCTGAATCCCTTCACTAAATACTACCCTGCTCACACTCCAACAGCTCATCAGGTCCCAAATACCATTCGTCTCCATTCACTCCTATCTAACACGCTCATGCACTCCTTTACCCCCTCCCTCCAACCATTTTCAGAACGACCCCTATCCCGCCTTCCTTCCCCTACAGATTTATACGCTCTCCATGTCATTCTACTTTGATCCATTCTCTCTAAATGACCAAACCACCTCAACAACCCCTCTTCAGCCCTCTTGACTAATACTTTTATTAACTCCACACCTCCTAATTTCCACACTCCGAAATTTTCTGCATAATATTTACACCACACATTGCCCTTAGACAGGACATCTCCACTGCCTCCAACCATCTCCTCGCTGCAGCATTTACAACCCAAGCTTCACACCCATATAAGAGTGTTGGTACCACTATACTTTCATACATTCCCTTCTTTGGCTCCATCGATAGCATTTTTTGTCTCCACATATACATCAACACACCACTCACCTTTCTTCCTTCATCAATTCTATGGTTAACCTCATCCTTCATAAATCCATCCACTGACACATCAATTCCCAAATATCTGAAAACATTCACTTCTTCCATACTCCTCTCTAATTTGATATCCAATTTTTCTTTATCTAAATTATTTGATACCCTCATCACCTTACTTTTTTCTATGTTAACTTTCAACTTTCTACCTTTACACACACTCCCAAACTCGTCCACTAACCTTTGCAATTTTTCTTTAGAGTCTCCCATAAGCACAGTATCATCAGCAAAAAGTAACTGTGTCAATTCCCATGTTGTATTTGATTCCCCATAATTTAATCCCACCCCTTTCCCAAACACCCTATCATTTACTTTTTTTACAACTCCATCTATAAATATATTAAACACCTAGGTGACATTACACATCCCTGTCTAAGACCTACTTTTACCAGGAAGTAGTCTCCCTCTCTTCTACACACCCTAACCTCAGCCTCACTATCCTCATAAAAACTCATTACAGCATTTAGTAAATTACTACCTATTCCATTTACTTGCAACATCTGCCACATTGCTCTCCTATCCACTCTATCATATGCCTTTTCTAAATCCATAAATGGAATGAAAAACTTCCCTACCCTTATCTAAAATCTGTTCACATATATGCTTCAATGTAAACACTTGATCTACACATCCCCTACCCACTCTAAAACCTCCTTGCTCATCTGCAATCCTACATTCTGTCTTACCTCTAATTCTTTCAGTAATAACCCTACTGTACACTTTTCCTGTATCAGCATGATTTTTATAATGAGTATTCTTTATATCCTGTTTATATTCTTTTGCACCATGTGAAAAGAGTATAAAAAAAACTTCTATTTTAGTGTTTTTGCTTTTTAGTTTAAATTATATGAAAGTATGATTTTAATACAGCCAAAGTTCTTTTCAGGATTGGCAGAGTGGCTGGTTCAAAGACGCGGAACTAATGCTAATAATAGTATAGAAAACACTGTTGGAGATGAAAATGAAGATGACGGGGAGGAGACAGGTGGAGAACTCAAATGTGTTGAAGAAGTAGATGGGACTAACCTGAGTCATGCAGTTACCATCAGTGAAGATGGTAGCATAACCTCTGTGCCACTTTCTCAACTTGCACCAATACATCTTCAGATAGAAAGTAAGTAGGTGTTAGTTGACTGTTGTGGTTACCATCTTGGTGGATGATACGGTTGTGCTTTAAAATCTACAGTGTAAAAGAGTCTGATTTTGTTATTTAACTCACCGGCCATCTCCCACTGAGGTAGGGTAGCCCAAACAAGAAAAAACACACTGTTACTATCTTGCCAGATGTGCTTACATCACAGTTCAGACAGTCCTCCAAACTTTAATATCCTCACCCTTCTTGAAGAGTTCAGGCACTACTTCCCACCTCCAGGACTTGAGTCTGGCTAACCAGTTTCCCTGAATCTTCATAAATGTCGCCTTCTCCACGCTTTAACAGTATGTCAGTCATAAAAATCTCATTTCTCCACTCTAATCTAATGCACTCACACAAGCCTGTGTTGGATGTCCTTACCCCCTCTCTCCTGTGATGACCCTTACTCTTCCTTTCACTGCAGATTTTCTGTACCCTCTTAGTCATCCTATTATGCTGCATCCTCTCTAAATGCCTAACCACTTAACAACACTCTTCAGCCATCTGAATTATACTTTTGGTAACCCCAAATCATCATCTAATTTCCATACTTCTGTCTGCATAATCACACCACTCATTGTCTTCAAACATGACATGTCCATTGTCTCCAGCTTCCTCCGTGAACCGACATTTCAAACCCATGTTTCACACCAATATAACAATGTTGGTACAGTACTTCTGTACTGTGGTACTTTACCCTTTTTGCTTCTATGGATTAAGTTCTGTCTCCACAGATGCCTCAATTCACTACTCACCTTTTTTTTTTTCTTTGTCTAAACAAATTTACTTCTTCCATACTTCTCCCTTCAATCTAATATTCAATCTTTCATTGCCTATTTTTTTGTTACTCATTTGTTTTTTCCTTATTTTTTTTTTTTATCACACTGGCCGATTCCCACCAAGGCAGGGTGGCCCCGAAAAAAAAAAAAACTTTCACCATCATTCACCCATCACTGTCTTCCCAGGGGGTCTTTGCACTACGTTTTTAAACTGCAACAAAACACCCCCCTTCAGAGGGCGGGCATGACTTCCCATCTCCAGGACTCAAGCCCGGCTGCCGTTTCCCTAAACCCCTTCAAAAAATGTTATTTTGCTCACACTCCAACACACGTAAAGTTTTAAAAACCATTGCTCCTTTCACCCTACAAACACGCTCACCATGCCTGCGGAATTAAAGCCCTCGCAACAAAACCTCCTTTCCCCCTCCCTCCAACCTTCCTAGGCCGACCCCTACCCCCTTTCCCTTTCCCACACAGACTGATACACTCTTAAATTATTCTTTTTTTGCCCCATTCTTCCAATGTCCGAACCACCTCAACAACCCTTCCCAGCCCTTGACAACAGTTTTGAAATCCCGACCCCTCCTAACTTCCAAACTGCGAATTCTCTGCATTAATTCACACCAACAGCCCTCAAATGACATCTCCACTGCCCCGCTTCTCCCTCGCTGCAACATTCATCACCCTGCTTCACACCCATATAAAGCTTTGGGAAAACTAACTCTCAACTTCCCCCCTTTTTGCCCCCAAGGAAAAAGTTTTTGCTCCACAGACTCCAAATGCACCCCCACTCTTTTCCCCCCTCATCTTCTATGATTCCCCCCACTTTCAAACCCCTCCGCTGACACTATTCCCAAATACTGAATAATTACCCCTCCATACCTCTCCCTCCAACTGATATCCGTTTTTTTCATCACTAACTTTTTGTTATCCTCATAAACCTAACTCTTTCCTGTATTCACTTTAAATTTTCTTTTTTTGCACACCCTAAAAATTTCACCCACCAATCTCGAATTTCTTTTTCAGAATCTCCCAAGAGCACAGTGTCACAAAAGAGAAATGTGACAACCCCCATTTTGTGTGTGATTCTTTATCTTTTAACTTCCAGCCTTTTCCCAAAACCCCTCCATTTATTCTCTACAACCCATCTATAAATAAAATTAAACAACCAGGGAATCACACATCCTTTCAAAGGGCCCTTTTTTTACTGGGAAATAATTTCCCTCTTCCCCTACATACTTAACTTGCCTCACTATCCTCGTAAAAACCTTCATGCTTTCGTAACCTACCTCCTACAAAAACACCGTTCACTTTTAAATTTCCATACCCTCTAAAATTTCCTATTCTCAACGAATTTATTGATAAAGCCTCCCCCTTTTTCCTTTGGGGGCCTCCATTGTACTATTTCACCACTCATTTAACTTTTTTTTTTTCCTATCTTTTAATTTTTCCCCTTTTATATCCTTTTTGCTCCCGACCCTCTTAAAGCAACTCTTTTCCCCACCCCCCTTTTTTATCTAAACCACTCCCCCAGTATTCTTTTCCCCTTCATATCCACTTCCTGTCCCTACAAAATCGTCTACCTCTACATGCATTTTAAATCTACCCCTACCCTTTACCACTTTATTACTTTACTTCTCTAGCCCCCCTTTTCCCAAAAATGGGTGGTTTACACAACAGATAGGGGTAATTTGAAAAAGAGCTGAGGGTTTGGGGAATGGCTATTTTCTTTTATATTTTTAACATGTTGGCCCTCTCCCACTGAAGAGTGTGACCCAAAAAAAAAGAAAAACAAGTTTTTCTTTTTTTTACATTTTGTAAATTTTTACTGAAGAAGGGGTTTAATAACCCTTTTCTGGATTTTAGTTGCCTCTTCAAAAAAGCGGCTTAAAGAAGGAAGGATTCTTCTCTGCTTTCCCATGGCACTGTATATTGAATTGTGTAATAAAATTTAACAGCAAAAAAAGGGGCATTCCCTTAACTACCTCACAATGGGTCTTCTTTTGGGGGACCAAAACCAAATAGTTTATTATTTAGGGAAAAAATTTTTTTTAAATTATAAAAAAAATTATTACTAAAAACTCTCGCCTTTTTTGCATACTAAAATTTGATAAATTTTTGATGATTACATGGTTGTCCGGGGGATGGCACCAGGGCGAAGAGGGGGGTCAACAGCAAATTCAACCACAAGATTACGCAAGTAAGCTTTCCCCCAAAATTTTCCTTTAAGGGAGGTATTTAGATGTTGAAGGGCTTTTTAACCCGAGAATTTGGGGTTGCCTTATCTTCTTTTTGGTTTAAACTGATTACTTCTGTTCTCCGTGCTGTATGGCTCCTATGGGGCTAGATCTTCCCCATTATATTTTTAGTAGTATAGTAGCAGTAGATAAAAATTTATTTTTTCCTAATCCTCCCAAAGGGGGACCCCAAGATGATAAAACCCTTCATCATCTTTTATACGTTGCGTTTGCCCCAAATGTGTTTTCATCACACCCAAAGTGCAGGGACCCCTTTACACCTCCAAGACTGAAGACTGGCTAACCGTCACTCCTGAACCTTTTAAAATTTCTACTTGTTCACACTCCAAAGATAACTTAATTTCCCTTCACCGATCTGCACTTTTCACAGTCCTGTTGTATTCTAAAACCCGTGCTCTGAACCTCCTTTACCCCCCCCCCAATTTTCCAACATCCTCAGATGTATATCCAAAAATTAAAAAAAGATTTTTACAAGTAGGCATAAAAGATTAAGTGGGAATTTGTTTCATTTGCCAATTTTTTTGGGGGGGGTAAAACTCACAATATGTTGATTCCTAAAAAACTTTAAAGGGCAGTTCTAAACCTGTAGGTTCATACAGCATCGGGGCATTCAGAAGGAAGGTCAATCCCCGTTCCTTCATTCAAGAGCCCCCAATTTCAGAATACCTTTTCCCGGAGGACACTCATCCATTTTTTTCTGAACATTTAATAATTGTATTTTTGGTTTAGTTTTTTTTTTTTACGGTAATGCCTTTTTTTGCGATGTGGATTATTTGAAAATGTATAATCAAATTTTTTTTGGACTTGTTGATCTGAGTTTTTTTTTTTTTTGTTAAATTTGACCTTTGAACATTACGTGTTGATTTAAATTCTGAATATCTGGGTGAGTGAACGAATCTGTTCTCCTTCATGTTCCTTCCGTCAATCATGCTGATGGTTTTTTGTTTTGCTTTAAAATTTCCCAATACAGATGAAGAATCTTCCCTAAGTCATCAAAGCACAATCATCGCAGCCAAAGTACACTTGGTCATCATTGCTCAGCCCCAAAAAGAGTACAAATACACTCTTTGACTAGTATACCCTGTTTACAAATTTTTAATAGTCAAGTAGCCTGGACATTATACCTCTGATATATGTAATCTGCTCTTTTGGCAGAGTGTTTTGATGCAGGAGAATATATTTTTGAATTCATGATACAAGGAGATACAAAGGTTACTTAGGGGACAGTTATATATTGTATATAGAAACTGTAAATTTGTATATTGTTTTCAGAATATCCTCATTTTTCTTTTGAGAATTAGTTCTTAAAACCAGTGCACGGGTTTTTTAATATTAATTTTCAGTGCCTGACTGACACTACTGTTCAGTCCATATGTCACAAGTAATTCGACACTGAACTCAGGCTTTTCCTAGAGAATTGTAATATAACATAGGCACCACACCAAAAACAAGTACTGGTTTGATATCCCTTGTGTTTAATTGAACATTACAGAAATTCTAAGTAAATTAAAGTACCAAAGATGTGGGAAAAAATAAGAATAAAACATGTAAAGTAAAAGGACACAAGTGCAACTAATGTGACATTTTATTGTGGCAACGTTTCGCTCTCCAGGAGCTTTATCAAGCCATTACAAACAATACATGGACACAGAGGGTATATAAAGGCTCAGGTGAGGTGCAATACTAGTGAGGTACCATATCGATGTTCACTAGTGGTAGTAGTAGTAGTGACAAAAGTAATACACCTACTACTACTACTACCACTAGTGAACATCAAAATGGTACCTCACTAGTATTGCACCTCACTCTGAGCCTTTATAATACCCTCTGTGTCCATGTATTTTTGTAATGGCTTGATAAAGCCCTGGAGAGCGAAACGTTGCCACAATAAAATGTTCACATTATTGCACTTGTGTCCTTTTACTTTACATATTGAACATTAAAATTGGTATAAAATACCGACAGGTTGTTAGGT